CAGATTTGCATAAGTGCGGATGTTGCTTATGACAGGTTAAACGTCTCTGTTTTCTTTTTTGTCACACTTTTTTGGATTATTGCTGGTGACATTTTGAAGCTGTACCAACTTTTAACATTGTGGTATTTTTTTGTTTGTTTTGTTGCCACTTAATGCACATCATTTGTCAGCAACTATAACTTCTCTTCCCACGAAACCTTCAATCTTTTATATTATATCGTCATTAATTGTCTGTTCAAATAGCAACCTCCACTTGTGTCAACAGATAGAACTGTAGTTGTTGAGAAATACATTAATACAGTATTCATAGCCACCGATATGTGCATCATAGTGTGTTTTAAACTATTTAAGAAATGGTTATGTGCTGCCAATTAATGCTACATATGAGGATTTCATGTAAACTGTTCCCCTTTGTGGTGTTTTTTGTTGGTTTGTCAGCAGCTTGCCTGTCTCTTTCCTTTTTTTCTCTCCCCATATTCATAATTGAAGTACCATGTCAACATTAGTAATCAGCTGAATCCAGTAACTTTTCCATTCTGCACTCAGTGTTTGGTTAGGAGCGGATTTTCATGGCTTATGCATTATTTATGTATGCAAGCTGATCAGTAAGAGCATCATTACGTGCACGTTTGGAGCAGTTTAGGTTGCACTGGTCGCTCCGTTACTTCATTTATTTAGCAGACAGCAGTGGCATTTAAGCACTGGTGGCACCAGATAACAACACTGAGATGCCTTGAAATCGAAACCTCTTTGAAGAGAAATGGAATGGAAATCAGGTTTTGCCTCCTGTGCCAAAATGTCAAACTCTGCATGATGACAGGTCGCCAGAAGTCCGTCCAGTAAACAAGCCACCGTATTCGTGGCTCCGTGTGACTTCTGTTTACAAGCCTCAGGTTGATTACGACTATATAACCAAATATACAAAAAAAAGTCAGCTTTTCCACTCAGGCTTAGAGCAAAGCAAAGCAGCTGTAAAGGATAATAACTGGAGAAACGGAGCATTGTGACTGAAGGTTATGTAATTCCAGCCTCGTAGTTGGAAAAAAAAAAAAAATCAGATATAGCTTGTATTGGCAGATTCAGCTACAAAATGTAGGATATATTTTTATTTGGTCACGATTCTTGTTTGGCACGACAAAATCTTGAGAAAGTGTAGGCGAGTGTCCGTTTCCTTTGCTGCTGGAGTTGTTTTTTTAAAATAATCAGATCACAATCACTGGGAAGGAGTCAAACGATTGGATGTAAACAGCCGTAAGAAGATTTATTCTGCGGGTTCAGCAGGAGTTTAAACCTGAGAAAACCACCATTCACAAAGTTTACATGTCCACAGTCTCCTGCACACTCAGTGTGCAGTCCAGTGTTTTCAGCTGGATTTTTCGAGGGGGAACATGGGGGCGTTGTCAACCTTTCGCTTCACCTCAGATATCCCAACCCCTGCCTGGCATGCAGTGTCAGCCTGGTTTCTCAGAGCATTGTGTAGGATTTGGTTGTGGTATTGTGGTCGACACGCATAACGAAATGAGTGACAGCTTGCAGCAGCGTTTGAGAAGCAAATCAGTGTCAGTCGTGTTGCTCTGACTGACATTTCCAGGTTTGAAAAACACCTCGTATGCACAAAAGGCTTTGTCAAAAGGATAAATCCTTCTCTTGATGCAGTACAACAAAATGAGGATATCTAATTAATGCAGAATTTTTAGAATCTGTCATTAATAACAAGGATTTAGGATACATTTATTAAAAAGCTATTAGAATTTCCCTTTAATCTCTGCTCTCTCTGCGGGTAAAAATAACTCGCAAGTTGAATTTTTCTGTTTAGCTCGCTCCAGTATCTGAAATCTTTCCACTACTGTTTTGGTTGATATCGGTCACCAGCTTTGCAGTTATTTATAATCTGTGGCACAGAGCCTGGAGCTCCAAAAAGCATCTTACAAACGCTGCCACAATAGGGCTCCGACTGGTACTGGAATGATTGCTCAACTAACATTTTTATACTTCAATTCCAAAGAGGAAACATTTGAGGAAAAAATACAGTTTTTTAAGTATTAACAATGGGAAAGAAACGTCATGATAACCAGCCGGTGCAGAGATTTGGCTGAAAATAGACACTCTTGTCTTTTGTTCTTTAGCGCAGTGCAGAATAGCTGCAGGGGTAAAAGCTTCATAACTCACTCACTGCCACATGATTTACTATCAGGATCCAGGAATCGCTTCTAATTCCTGCTAGTTTGATGTAATTTACGTGAATTCATTCCTAAACCCTGATTTTTAACACCGTTAACGTGCCTTGGCAACACATGTGAAGATGTCACACCACTAAAACCTGCTTCACAGCAGCTCCGACGCTATCTGCTCTTCTGAAACAGGCAAACAAGCACAAGACTAGTGGCCAGATTTCTCTAAATGTTATCAACATGGTTCAGGTGAAATCATTCTGAATTTCAAAGTGAATTTAGTATATCGAGCACCACAAAGGGTTAAACAAGAAAACCTGATCTTTCCTGCTTGTTGCAAATCCAGCATGATGTGAACCCGCTGCCCCGCCGAGCGTTTCTGGCTCGATACTGACGCTCGGTGGTGAGTTAAAGTGACTGCGACTACTGTGGAGTGAAAGCAGAAAGTAGATGATGGTAGTTTGTGAAGATTTAAAGGCAAATGCAAAGGTTTAATCTCATTTTTATGCGTATAAGAGACACAATTAAGACCAAAAATGTGAGTTTATGACATAAAGCATTTCCCCTCCATCCCTCTTTTAGAGTTAAATTTGAACATATTGTCCAGTCTATAGGGTAATCCTCTTTATGGACCGCTCATCTCAGTGGGCCTCATGCCTTGCTGGCTGCTCTCTGGATGAAGCAGCACATGTGACTGTAGCCTGCAGCCTGTGGTGGAGTTCACCAGCAAACACACTGAGGCTGACCTGTGTGGAGTTTAAACACCACCACCACCACCAACAACGACAACAGGTTTAGCTGTTTTTCATCAGACCGTGTAGAATCGAACTGAATCGGATCCTTTACAAGCTCTAAGATCACAAGATAAATGCTAAGTATTTAACAATAATCGTTAGTGTGTGTTACGTTAAGAAGGAAGAACAGAAGAGATGCAGTTTAACAAGAGTTACAAGGCTTGTAAAACAAAACAAAAAAAATATTTTGGAATGGCAAAATCATATAAATTGAGTTTTTTTGATTAATTTGTCTTTTTTTTGTACTGTCGGTTAAAATGTGTGGAACAACCACACAAATTTTTATTTCTATTTTTTTGTTATTCTAGATCTGATTTTATATGCATTAAAGACCATTGTAATCACAGTGCAAAAAATAATTACTACAAAAGTCTAAATAATAAATAGAGAAATCAAGATAAAGAACAAAAAAATATAAAAACATTCACAGTATCATAAAATTGCATCTTGGCCTGATGCTGTGAAGGTTTATTATGAATGTGAGAGCTGTATCTATGAGTATCATTGTGTTTTGGCCTGCAATGTTCTGTCATCTTACAGGTTAAATAGTGAGATGTGTTGCTGCGTTAGACTGAAACTGTGCATTTCCATTGGCTGAAACCACTTGATATTTTATATCCTTTACAGTGGAAGCTGGTTGTGAAGGAAAGATGTTGAAAGCACAAATTCATTAAAAATTATTTACTTTCTAATGTACCTACACTGAGTAGAAACTGGAAATGTGCAAAGAAAACTGAATTTCTTTAAAGACTTTCTATAGTTTACGGGCTGCTCCTTTACAACTGCCACCGGTGAAGGAGAAAGAGCAACAAACTATAAACTGCATTTTTGTCGTCATGTTTTGTCAACATCCAGAGTTCATCTCAGCTGATGGATGTGATCAAACCTCCACTGAGGATTGCTTCTTGTCGCCGCCTTCGGCTCTGCTGCTGCTGCTGCTGCTGCTGCTCTCTGACATGTGACCGTCCTCGCTGAGGGCAGATGGGCTCTAATCTGCAGATAAAACTAAAACTCGATGATGATGATTGGACGGCTAAACCAGTTATTAAGCTGCTGATTCAGTGTTTATTGCATCTGAATAGACCATCGAGCAGATTATTCTTCACTGGAAACGTAAACACAATTAACGAGCTCCCCTTTTTCTTCCCGTCTCTTCCATTCACCTCTCGTTTCTTTTCATTTCTGTACGAGTTTTGAGCGGTTGCGATGGCCGTGAATTGCCATTTATGAACAAAGATGATGATTGTGGTGAGAAACAGATGGCATCGTACAAACAGGAGCTTTATTAACAAGATATTAGTGATTGGACAAGGCTGCAAGTTTGTGTAAGTACACAGAAAAGAACCATTCTTATGACTTAATAACGTGGAAAAACTCAGATGTTCTGCTTCATCTGGTTTATGTGGTTTGATCAGAGGTTGTTTTGATTCGGTTCCTGCTCAGACGTCATGTTTTCCTGAAGGGAAAGAGGAAAATATGGAAACAGCCTGCAAGTTAAAGACACAATAAACAACTTGTATACGAGCTCTCGTTCTGTGCTCCGCTGCAGTCAATGGAAGAAAATAGACTTTTGCATGATAAGATGGGGTTTAGGTGAAAAAGAGGGAACTATTATGTTTAAGTGTGAATTAGAACAAACCAGACATGCTGAATTACTGCTTCTGAAGTTTGACTTTATGGACAAAAATCCTTTTACTTTTCAACTTTTGATGCACGTCATTGTTGCATTGGTCCAACAACAAAAGGGCTAAAAAAAAAAAAAAAACTGTGGAAAAGCCAGACATTGTGAAATCCTTTTTCTCTGCAGAGCCACCAGCTGTTTATCTCAATGAACCAACTTTGACGTGACAGTTATGGTGGGAACATGAGACTTTTTGGGGGGATATTTTATCATAATTTTCATGAACTTTGGATCCAAGCTTCACTATTCATGGCTACATTTAGTAGTTTGAGTTACATCACGTGAAATCTGACTACAAAACATGACAGAAACTGTTTTTTTCTGAACATCATGTTCTCTCTTTTGCCTCCTCAGGTGGTCAGGCGGTGCCTCAGGACCCGTCACCTTCTTCCACCTGCCCTCCGGGGCCCCCCGGACCTCCGGCGGTTGCCAACGGCGGCAATGACATCATGGTGAACTTCGACCCCGACCCGGCGGACCTGGCGCTGTCCAGTGTGCCAGGCCAGGAGGCATTCGACCCGCGACGACACCGCTTCAGCGACGAGGAGCTGAAACCCCAGCCGATGATCAAGAAGGCCCGCAAGATGCTGGTCCCCGATGAGCAGAAGGTACTACATCTCCCACAATCCTCTTCTGTCCTACACGCAAACCTTTACCCTGCTTCGCTGCGGAAATGTCATGTATATTAAGCTGTTCCGGAAACACGGTCAGTTTTGTTTGTGAATTTTTAGTCTTTAAAAATACAGATTATTATCTTGAGAGATTAAAATATATGGAATTATTTTTTACACTGTTAATAATATCATATAATATAAACATACATGATTGTAATGGCTAGTTTTCACTCTTATATCTACAGATACATATCAGAATATAGAAAAACAGTTTCTTGTTCCAAACTTCCTCCTAAAATAGTCAAGATCCGTCTTTTCTTTTACTTGTAATTTTTAGAAAATTCTCATCCTAAAAAAAGTAGTTCCTTGATCCAAGAGAGACAAATTTTCCAATGACTCAAAAATACATCAACTTGTTTTAGGCGCAAATTAACTTTTTTCTTATGCTCAGCTTTTATTTTTCTTGATTATAGTGAAACAAACGGCCTTTTTCTTTCTTCTCATTTGATCTTTATATGTAGAATTTTCTGAAACATCTTGAAAATTTGAAATATTCTCGCAGCATTTGCAGATTATGTCACTTAAATATGGACTCAATTAGAGACAAAAATAAGGTGAAAGAAGCAAAAATGTAATTAAGCTATGAAACAAATATGTTTAAGTCCAAAAGTTCACAACAACTCCCTTGTATGTGGACAGAGGTCACATTTTCCTTCAGCGTTGTGTTTAAACAGAAGCTACAGCACCGTCACCGTCAAGGTAGAAAATCCTGAACTTCATCACAACAAAGGTTGTGGTTCTTTGACAGCTCTGGGTGCTGATGCGGAAAAAAAACGAGGAAGTGTGACACCCAGTGGTGCCGATCCCTCCCAATGAGCCCTAAAATATTTGGTGCTCAGCTCGCTGCACAACAGAGAGAAGCTGTGATCAATGGCTCATGCTTTCATAGTTCAGCGCGGAGCAGCTGCGGCCGCGGAGGCGTTTATAATTTATAGAGATGACGCTGCTCACCTTGCTGTGTTCAGCCGCTGTTTTATAAATCATTCGTACGCCTGTTTGGAAAAACGATCTCTGGTCAAAGTCAAGGATGAAGTTCAGAAGTGCTCGGCAGCTTCTTAGAAATAAGCTTTTCAGTTTAGTATCAACACTGAGGTGAAAAGATGGAAAATCTGACTCCGAATAAGAGCCGACAATATTCCGAGATTACAACCTTAATGTGAATATTATTCTTAAATAAACGAGTTAGTGTTTAAAAGCTGATCCTCTCAGAATGTCCTTAAAAATGTTGTAGAATGATGTACACAGATCCTGAGCTTTCACTTCCAGTTTGACCTCCTCTTTTGCTTCGTGGGTCCAAAAGTTTAACACAACGATAGTTTCATAATTTCCTCCTCATGAGCCTTTTATTGGCCAACAAATTTCTTTCAAGCCCCAAACAACAAAGTGAGGCTGCAGGGCTTTTCTGCAGTGGATTAGTCCGTTCAGCTGGGTTCGAACTAAACAGCTGCATTAAGAAAGAACTCCTTTCATGGAGATTTATTACACATCTTCACGAGTTGCTATTATTGTTTAGCATCGAACACTAATTCACTTTACTGGCTTTGCAAGATGATTAATACTGAGTTTAACACGTTTAAATGCTTATTAATTCATGTCTTTTGTACACATACAGAACATTTGATTGCTAGAATTCCTTAATGCCTGTTTTTCTGTCTTTATGTGTTTGTTTTTGAGCTTTTAAGTGTCATTTTTGGCAGCGAATATATAGTTCGAGCATTAAGACATGAGGATATCACTACACTTTGTAATGTTTTACTGCTCTTATTGCATGGCCACTTATTGGAGGCAAAAAGAAGCCCCAAAAACCCCACTAACTGCAGTTTGAAGCACAAATGCACATAGCTTTCCACTTTCATGCCTTTATGTTTACTGATGTTGCAGATGCATGCTACGCTTAGCAGTTGCTAACTGTGCAACTAATGCTGCATTTGTGTCGTATTCTACAGAATACAAAAGTGGAAATAATGTGAGATTTCAGCACTTTCTAACAGCTGCACTGCCCTTTCTTCCACGAGAGCAACACAATAAACCTTTTGAAAATGTCTGCAAAACATCTAAATAGCACCTAATTAGGTCTGTTTCATTTGAATCTGTTATCTGCTGCCACTAAAAATAGCTAATTGAAGCTACAATTTAGTTTATTTAATGTGGCAACAAACTAAAGTCCCCATGTTTTGAGACATACACCGAAAAATCTGTGTTTTTGGGTGCACTGCACTTTGACAACCATGTTTGAGGCTTTTAAAACACCTGCTAGTGTATCATATGTTAGTCTATTTATTTATTTTGTTTGTATTCTGTATTTATTGTGCAGCAGTTTTAGTGTCCTGTGGTTTCAACTATTCAGCTGTGGCCACCTTTTCCTCCTCCTCCTTCCTCCTTGTCCTACCATCATCTCTCTTTCTCATCATGTTACTGACCCTTCTCGTCCGGCTCTCTCCTCCCTTTTTTTTTTTGTCTGTGTTTTTGTTCTCTCCTCTCCCCACCTTTTCCTCCCCACAACACACCCCAACATACCACACCGCCGCCGCCGCCGTCGACAGGACGAGAAATACTGGAGCCGGCGCGTGAAGAACAACGAGGCGGCCAAGCGCTCGCGGGACGCCCGGCGGCTGAAGGAGAACCAGATCTCGGTGCGCGCCGCCTTCCTGGAGAGGGAGAACGCCGCCCTTCGCCAGGAGGTGGCCGACATGAGGAAAGAGCTGGGCCGCTGCAGGAACATCATCAACAAGTACGAGAGCCGGCACGGAGACTTGTGAGGAGGAGGAGGAGGACGAGGAAGGAGTTGAAGGAGGAGGATGAAAGGGGAGGGCGGGAGGGGAAGAGGAGATGAGGAAAAGGGTACAAGGCAAAACCCAACAACAGCAGCACTTTAGTTGAAGTGGCGAGGGTGGGGGGAAAGGCTGGCGTAGATCTGCAGTAAGCGCCGCGCGACACCGGGCGCAAACACGCAACAAGTGTATGTTTTTTAGGGCGCTCGCTGTGCTTCAGGATGTCATGACAGGAAAGTACAGCGACGCCATTTTTCTCTCTCTCTTTTTTTTTTTTTTTTTTCCCAGTTTGACTCTCTTTGTACATGCTGCTTCGCTGAAAAAAAAAAAATCCACACAAAACGTACTGTATCACCACCTTGTGACCACCTCGGCAGCTTAAACGACGTCACCCTCGGCGCCGTGCTTTGCGCCCGGTGTCGCACAGCGTTTTTGCAGGTAGTGCGTTCCTGGCCGCTGCTCTGGCCAGTTCAAACAGGGTGTTGAATTCACAATATGCCAGTGAAATCTCACTTTTTAAGCTCAAGGCATGGACACAAAAGCCAGGAGAGGTCAGACATGTAATTTTTTTCTATAAATAGGACAAATAATAAAAAAGAAACATGTATATTTTTGAACTGGGCAGGAAGGCAAAGACTAGTCCAGCATAAAGGAGGAGGAGGAGGAGAAGGAAGAGGTGCAGGGGTTTTCGTCCATAAACGCAAAGAGATTTTGACATAGGATTATTGTATATTTTTCTATTAGCAGAGGTATTCAGGAGGAGGATTTTGGAGATAATCTTTTGTATATTTTATATATGGGGTGGGGAGGGGCTGTTAGCTGGACAGTCATGGGGCCACATAAAGCGCTTTTCCTCCCAGCTGTTTATCGCTAAACGACAAATAATCTATTTTCATCTTTACAGAGCTGGTTAGTCGGAGGCAGAGGTGTAACAGAGAATGTATCACGGTTGAATCAGGTATTTCACACGGTGCGAGACAAGGCGAGGTATCTTAGTAACGATTGTTTTCGGTGGGACGCGGGGAGGCGACAGGAGGAACACGGTTTTAAAAAAAAACAGAAACTTGTATAGTTTTAAAGAAATTTTTTTGTGTTCGTTTGTTTTCCTTGTGAGCTCGTTGAAGCACTTGAGTTATTATCTTCTATTTGATTCCGTGTCTGAATTTGAAATAATAATCGCAGGGCTTTGATTTTTTTTTTTCTTCCTTTTTTTTCCTCAAAAGGCGAAGGAGTAATTAGCCATCAGAACAGCTGGATGTGAGCAGATGTTCGAGAGTAGATAAGGGGGGAGAATTTCGCTGGCAGGTTTAGTTCGGTGAATGTGTCTTGCTCACGTGCACACACAAACTTTTTAAACCGTTGCACAACATGATTGCGGTCTTTTCCCACTACTATTTACTCCTCGATCATGTCCAGGAAGTGCAAAAACCTTGTTTGTTGATTTTTTTGGGGGGGGTTGATCTACTCAGATCGAACAGTGACTGAAACCCTTCAGCATGCAGACACACAAACACACAGACACGCACAGTCCTCACCCGGTTTTAACCCTTATTGTTGTTGTTGATGTTGTTATGGACTTCTATGGTGCTGATCTGATCTGATCCTCCACTTGACACACAACTACACACATACTTATAGACAAAAATCATAATTGCACATATGCAAACACACAAAAACAACACTTCCACCATCTCAAACACAGTACTGAACTGCCTATACCCTTTCTTTGTCTTTTATTCCTTCTTTTTAGTTTATCTTTTCTTTCTTTTTGTTGCATATTGTATTGATAAATCGTATATAGATTTACACAAAAAACACTTGTCTATACCTCTCCTTCAAACTTTACCCAATGAGAAAGAGAAATGCACCCTACTGCTACTGTACCATACAACTGTACTATTGAATATTAAACTATTCTCTCACTTGATATATATGTGTATATGATATATGCTTGAAATATGTGATTATAGTTGTAATATACATAATTGAATATATTACGGAAAAACCCATTGGAATCATTTTGTCAGTTTTTTCTCAGGTGTTTTTGTCTGAGGTATTAAATACGCATATTAAAAAAGAAAAACACACAAAAAAAGTTTCAGATCCAATCACAGATTTTGTGGTTTGGTTTGTTTTATTTTTTTCGGACAGGGGTGGGGGGGGTTAATATGTTTTATTTTTCTTGTCGGGTTTTATTGTTATGGTTCAGTTTTAGCCCGGTTTATTCCGAATTCACCAGCATGGGACTGAAAACTTTTCCCACAGACCAACTGACCGTCCACTAAGCCCCGCCCCCTCATTAGTTACTGTTGCTATGCCTGTCAATCTTTAGATTTGCTCTTTGTCTCTGGACAGCGTGAAACATGGCCGACACCAGCGAACACGAAAGAATATTTATACTACCTATAATACTGTCCTGACTGAAAACTACTCGTAAAGACGTAGATGGAAAAAAAATGTAGTTTCTTTTTCCAAACAGTTTTGTTTCGGTCTTCTTCTACTCTGTTTATTACAGATAATGTTGCCAATATGGTGAACTCCTAACGACACAATGCAGCCTAGTTGACTCAGTTCATGGAAACAATTTTTGCGACCTTTCAATGGTTCACCTTATTTTTATGGAAACACAGTTAACAAAATGTAGTGGCTTTTATTGATGACAGGTAAATAACAAATGGTGATGCGAAGTAACTGAGTTAAAGTAATCTCAGCTTGGAGGCAAAGAATGTTATTTATTGATGCGTTTAGTCGGCACTTCTGAGTTTCCTGAACATTAACCACAAGAAAATGGCGTCCATGGATTTGTTTCCTACCACTTCAATGAAATCACTTGGCTGCACAATTTATTAGATTTTTGAATGTTTTGAATCTTACCGATTTGATCCATGTGTGAACTGAAAGAAATTAAACTTGGGTGAACTGCCGCTGTTTAAGCATAGGCTAGGCAGCTTAACTTGGAAATATTTAGGGTAGAAAATATACAGCAGAGCCACGAATGGAACGTCTACTAGCAACCAATGTCTACTAAGCATTGGGCGATGAGCAAATTGTTCTACACAACTCCATTGCTGTGCTCCTACATAACTGATACTCAGAATACTTCTGGAAACTTCTGTCTCCATTTAAAATCCCATTGAGTTGTGGAACTACACTAATTACTAAATCTTGCTAAATGCAGTGTCATGGAGCTCACCTTATTGCTATGTTTGGATAGATACAGCAGTTTAACACTGGCCTTTGTCAGATACTTGTTACAAGCAGCCATGAAAGTTTGCAGAGTTGATGCCATATTCACATTAATGTATGACGGAAGCAAATTTTCTTTTTGCAGGGTGGTAGAGGAAAAACCCATTTACATTCATGAGGAAAGTGCCTGATTGATTGTTGAGTGACCAGTGAAACTGGTTATGGTGAAGCTAAGAATGCCAAAGACATAGAAAGGTGGGTTGTGCCTTTATCACTGTGCAAAATGAAATTTTGCGGGAGGGAAAGTTATCAGACTATCGATTTAGATGGACCTTGTGTCATCACATCCAACCTGACCTAATGTGGAAATTAAGTAAAAGTACAAATGTATGAGCATCAGAAATGTATGTAGAATGGTCCATTTCATAAAAATGTATACTATACATAGGTATTTTATTTTATTTTAGGTATTTATACACATTTTATTATGAAAAATAGAAAAATAGCAAACTGGCTTTCTCAATAATACTTATGAAAATTCTATTTTAATAGCAACATTGTTATTATTGTTATTTGTTATAAACAAGCAAATATTGTTTGTTTATTCTAAAAGTACAATATTTGCCCCTAAAATGTAGTAGTGGAATGGAAGTATAAAGTAGTAGAACATAGAAATACGAAGTTCAAGCAGCCTAAAATTGCACTCAGTTACAGTACTTGAGTAAATGTACTCAGTTACTTTACACCGCTGCTATTGGCCCAAATGTGAGGCCGAACCCCTTGAACGTCACATCGCTCAGCTTCATTTTGACTGTCTGAACTCATTATTTGCTCCAGAAAACCAACGAGCTGTCTCACTGACTAAATACGCTGTCAGAATGTCGGTTAGTACAGTGTACTCCGGCGATTTGCTTCTGTGACTTTATTTTGGAAAGGAAATTCGAAAAACTCTTTCAGTACAGTAAGAAATCCAAAGCTTGACAAGCCGCTTCAAGTCACAACCGGCGAGCTGTGATTGGACAGTCGGGGTTTAGTGGACGTTAATTCAGAACTGTCATGTTTTTATTTACAGTTGCAACTAAACCTGGTTCTTCTTACCTGCTATACAGTCACACATGAAGTTTTATGATTGTTCCTTTCTTGTTAAATGTCTTTTCAGTTGAGTTTCTTCAGGGGAATCTGTGATTATATTAACACGTAAATCACCTTTTGATTCCCACGACCAACCTTCACTTGATTTCCCATGAGCCTGTTTGCTGTTGGCACCATCCACAGAGACTTTACCGAGCCCCAGGTGTATTATGGGAGTTGTAGGTTGATTCTTGAATCATTTTTTTCCCTTCTCCCCCCCCCCTTTCTCTTGTCTTCTTTTTGGGATTACAATAAAACCTGAGACACAAACTTTTGAATTTAAATCCCTGGAAGAAAAGTCTCAGAGATTCTCACACGTTCATCTGTTGACGGGAGAAGGAGGCCGTGTGTTTTTTTTTTCTTTTGATATCTGGGATATTTGGGGATTTCTTCACAGAAGTTTCAGAAACTTTTTGACAGTGCTATTTTTCTATGTGACTGTGTTGTTTGAACGTGTTACGACGTTTTTTTCTGGCCGGCGTTTGAGGCCCACTCTTCACGTGGTGGCAGTGACAGTTTGCTGCTGTGCGATATAAAAAAACGGCATTGCGGGTAATAATGACAACAATAACAATGATGATAACAATAATGTACACAGCCTTGTTATTTCTTCTTCAACTTTGTGGATTCTCAGCTAACTTCTCCTTGTTGTGACTGACTGTTATGAACTA